CCACGTGTTCGTGTGGGCGAGGGCCGTCTTCTTCCAGCTCAAGGGGGGCGCCCAATGAGAGTAGCGCCACCAGTAGAGCGGTGGAGTGTAGGTCGGCTAGGTGGTCCCGAAGGAGCCAAGCAAAGTCATCCACAAAGACGAACCCCCAGTCGATTGCAGGAAACACTGCATAGACAATCCTAAGGAGGAGTGCTGCCATCCGTCCCCAGTAGAGCTGGGCGCTTGCCATGCCATAGGTGCCCACCTTGTTGACCCACCATTCGTCACCAATTTGGGCTCGCCAGTCCCGAGAGTGGATCTTGACGCGTCTGTGTGCCTTGGTGACATCTGCCTTGAGGATATGCCATTCTGTGGCCGATTCTGGCCATGTCCATTGACCCTGCCCTTCCTTGGGGGTATCAGGGCCCGAGGCACCTGCCCGTCCGGAAGGACCGGTCCCACAGGAGGCACGCAGCCAGTGTAGGCAGTGGACGCAGTCCATGACAGTAGGTGCTGTGGTACACTCCTCCGTGTGTCTTTGCCCCCCCCAGGAGCCATCATAGATGGTTCTCACTTTGTCTCCCTCGTCAACGGCTGCCATGGGGCCTGGGCAGAGTTCTTCTGGGGTGCACCCACAGTATTCGGCCGCTTCAGCGATGGTGAAGGGTCCTTCGACCATTCCCATGTCTCGTTCTTCCCTGAAGGTTTGTTTGATCTCAGCAATAAAAAGGAAATTTGCTTTAAGCTAGGTGTTAACTTTTTTAGAATAGGTGTCAGCGTAGCAGAACTTAATCATTGAGCCAGGATTTGTCAGTCTGGGCACGCACGAGCCTGCACATCATACAGAGCACGAGGGGTGCCTCATAGAGAGGTTGATAATTCGCGCCAGGTCAAATTTTAATTCTCGCAAATTTATGTGTCTAATACTAAGTGTGTGGCTTGAGTGTGTGAATGTGCGTGTGTGTGTGTGTGTGGGTGGGGAAGGGAATTTCAAACTCAAAATTCCAACTAGGAGAACTAGATTCCACGCAATTGTTTCCGGCTTTTTTGAAACTTTGCACATAATTCCTGTGGCTTTACGCTGAGTATGTGAAAAGTGCGCATCTACCCCCCTCTGCGCAAGCTGCGCAACTACTTTAAAAGGGATTTGGCTGGGCCCCATGATGGTTTTATAAATATGCAAATGGATGGCTGATGGTTCATCAGGCTGACAGGTCAATGACTCTTGGACAAACACTCTGCGCCCTTTTCGCTTGAAGCCTTCGGGTTCAATGCTCACACTGAGAGGTCGTCCACTCAAAAAACGCTCAAATCAAAATTTCTGAGACTGCCAGGGCCTACTAAGCGTTCAGCTTGCAAGCAGTGCCCGGCGTCAACGCGAGTGCCTTCACAAGGTGCAGCATGGGCTTGATGGGTTGTAATCCTTTCACTGTCCATTTGCTATGCCACACGAAGGCCACGCAATGCAGGCTCTGGAATGAAGACATGCTCACACGGGCTGCCAAGTTGGTGGCAGTGACGGTTTCCTCTGGGGCACCCTCCTTCTTCCCAGGAGGAACAAAGCCAACCTTGTGGGTCTGCGTGAATGTAAACTCACCTGGCTTCTCCGGAACGGGGTTTGCTTTGTGGTAGCAAACGGCTGCGTCAGGCTTAGTCTGCCGCTGCTTTGTCAAGGCCTCACTGACACTGCTGATCACACCGTTGACAGAAACCAAGCTGTCTGGGCCCATTGTGAAGATCACTGCTTTCTCAGGAACCACGTCGTCCCCCTTGAAAAGCTTGAAAGCACCACGGCCGAAACCAACCAAAGCAGCATAAGGCTTCAGCGATATCTCGTTTCCTGTCAGGTTGACCAAGTAGGCACGGTTGCCAGTTCGAACTTGGAAGTTCAAAGAATCCTTTCCCCCAAGCTTACATTCCACAAGAAGCGTCTCAGAGATCTTGTCGTTTGGCGTCAAATGCTCTGCGCCAACCTCGTCGAATTTCAACTTCTTGGGAGATGGCTGGGCCTGACTGGCAGCATCTTGGCCTTCTGCTCCTCTTTTGTTGGGCGAAGAAGTGTTCTCAGTCTCATCGGCCACCGAGTAAACCTCGCAGAACTCATCCAGCCACTTCGAAAAGACTTGGGCAAAGTCTTCGTCACAGCTCCACTTTTTGACCAAAGAACTGGGGATCTTCAACTTCTTCTCGTCCCCTTCACCAGTAGTTACCAGCAGGTTCATGACGGGCAGGGCAGGCAAAGCCTCGAGCAAATCTGCACTGACTTCCTTCTGGAAAGGGCGTTGGCCTGGCACTTGAAACTGCTCAGCTTTGACTTTGTCGACGAGGTCTTCCACCAAAGTGGCCCGCAACCAGTCCACCTCCTTGCCCTTCTCCGCCACGGCCACATGGAACAAAGAGGCTGTAGAGGTCAAAGAGTTGCGAAGCTTGCAAAATGCCTGACTAAAATCTCCGACCCTTGGGAAAAGGTCAATGACGAGCACCGCAGGCGTCTGTGTTGGGACCAGATCCACACCAGAAAACAGCTTTCTGAGGATTTCCTCAGCGGCTGGAGCTCCAACCTGGCAATGCTTGGCTGCACCTGTGACGAAGCCACTGCTGCAGGAAGCGGGTACTGAGTCATCAGCCATGTCCTCCACTTCTTTCAAATCCTTCGCAGGCAATTGCTTCACAGGCTCAGTCCTTCCAGACTTTCTGAGGTCTGACTGGAAGAAAGCGTTTGACTTTGCAAGGTCTACCAAATGCGAAGGAAATGCAAAACGTGCTGGGTACAGGAGGGGCCTTGCGTCCCGGAGGTCGCACCGCTCAGCATAAAGGAGGCTGAACTGGTAGTCCAAATTGAAGCCCATTTGCGCGAGCACATTCAAGGCAGCGTGTTCCTCTAGACTTGTCTTGCCTTTCTGGTACGAAAAGGTGGGTGACAGGATGATGCCACAGCTGTTGGCGTTGTCATGAAGCGCCCACGCCAAAACGTTGGCATGGTCTTTCTGGCGCTGCGCTGGCAACAAGCAGGGCGCAGTCCAATTGATGAGAACCAGGGATGGGACATCACTCACAGATCCTGGTTGCGGCTGGTTGCGCAACTTCTTCAAGGCTTCCATCCGGAAGTTCAAGAGCTGAGGGATGAGGCTGTCGGCAGACTTGTGGGCTTCCCAGGTCAAGAACCGCACGCAGCCTTCCACGTAGTTCTCAACAGTCTGGACAACCTTCCGGTGTTCATTCACGATGTGCTCCTGCTTGGCATGCATTCTGGCTAACCCAACTCCTGCACACTTAGTCTTCCAAATCTCGAAGACCTTTCGGTCGTAATCCAACTTCTTGATCACATGCTCAAACTCGTCCTTCTTCAAAGCATCACGCAGGTCAACCTGGCCAGAAGAACAATGAAAAGTAAAACCTCCCTGACCCTGCTACACGAACCAATGAAAATGGCCAGTCAGGCAACTGGATTGTTTCTGGTCCCTGTAGCTGCGCCCGTTTGGTCGCATTGAAACTTTTGCCAACCGTGTCACAAAAAAGGGTCACCTATTTTTTAAAAAAGGAACCCTTTTTCGTGAAAATGCGAGATCCTTGTTGTCACAGCAAAAAAGAAGCCTCCTGAGAAGAACTCACCGGCGCAGTGAAGATCGACTCATCCAGGATAGACTTGAAAGAAGGGAAGCCCACAGCAATCACAAAGGCCTCAGACTTTTCGAGCAGGGCGGCTGAGAGCTCCATATCAATCCTCTCGTTGCCCTGCGCCCACTCACGCAAGATCTTCTCCTGGACGGTGGCCACGCTGACTGGGTGCTCGCTGCAGAACTCCTTGCTAAAGGCAACAAGACACGCAGCCTTCTCGGCCAAGCTTTCCATCGACGCTTGGCTGCCCTTCAGTTTCACGCCTGCCGCCGCATGCTCTTGTACCCAATGAGCCCGAGACACCATGAGCCGCATAGACTCCTCAGAGACTCGCAGGCGTGAAGACCACTTTCTGCACTTGGAAGGGTACTGATGGCCTGGGAAGAGCTTTCGGCTTGCCAAATTCTCTTCATTCCATGCACAGTCAGCCCAGCCCATCAGCCCCACGTGCTGCAAAATGGCATCAAGGACGTCCTGCATAATAAACAGAAGTCAAAACCCAATTGCCATGAAGTTTCCAGCCCCCGTTGAAACAGCATTACGTTCAATCTTGACGGTTCGAGCGCACGATCCCTAACGTTGTAATAAGTAATCCGGCTTTTACAACTGTCTGCTTTGGAAGGACATTGATCTAGAAGTTGGATCGCCACATGTTTGGCTATCAAAGCGTACCAAAAAACGGAGCCCCAAACCGCCCAAACCACATGGAAAGAAATGATGGTGAACCGACGACTCTTTTGGTTTTGTGTTGGAACCCAAATCCTTCGGCGCGGACTCGAAGAGAAGCTTCAGTGCTATCCCCTTCCTCCCCTTAATCTGGTGCGCTGCCACCGTCTGGACGTTCCATCTACGAACGAAGGACATGTAGTCAGTCCCTCCTTCCATCAGCAGCTTCCTCACCATGGCTGCCATTTGCACAACGTTTGCGGCCTTCCTCAAAGACCCCCGCAGACTGAGTCTCAGGTTTGTCAGGACCTCGTCTTCCTTCGTGTTCTGGCGAAGGTGGTGTGCCCAAATTGAAGTGACCGTATCGATGAGCTTGGGGCAGTGGTTTTCCAAGTCCTCCTTGGAAAAGGTGGCATCGGAATACATGACGTGTAGCAAGGCCAACAAGCTAGTTGCCCTTGCTCTTCCCTTCACATAGCCAACACTGAAGGGGGGCCAAAGTCACCTTGCCTTCTGAATCCCATGGGCTAGTGACACCTCTGTTCTCCTCCACTAGGCTCTCCGGCATCGAAATCAAAAGTGGTTCCCCCGAAGTAACGAAGCCCTCTTTGAGGAAAAAGTCAATCAACTGCACAGCCAATTCTTTCCCTGGCGGCGGCTTGATTGAGGAGAGATCCGAGAATGCCAGGCTGGCCACATGGAAAGCTGCAGGCGGCGATTGGGCAAGGTCGTTCTCTGTCACACGGGGTGCAGCATCGACATCGTGAACATAGAGAATGTCAGAGCGTTCTGGGAAATTTCCCCACAACCATGACACGAAAGCCTGCTTGGCTTCCACTGAGTTGACGTGCCTAGCCAAATAACTTGCTGGGCCTGCAGGGCACTCGTCGAAAATCTCTCGGATTTTGGTGGACAATTTCTTGCAAAAAACGCCCGAAGCATCCAACATGACCTGATCATCCCCTTCACTTTCATCTTTTGGTTCCATGAGCGCTGCTTCTGAGTCAGGTTGCGCCTGGCAGCAGCTAACAATCTACAGGTGCGGTTCGGGCCTTGGAGAATCTGGCGCCAGGTTTCGCTTATTATTAATTAGACTTTGACATTGCATGAGCTCCACAAAATTGCGATGCCCAAAGCCTCCTAAGCACCCATTAAGGGCTCAATCCTAAGCGCCAAAAAGGCGCTCCTAAGCGCCAGAAAGGCGCTCCTAAGCGCCAGAAAGGCGCTCCTAAGCGCCAGAAAGGCGCTCCTAAACATATTATTCTGTCTGTATTAAACCATATTGCACAACACACCAGACTGACACGAGCAAACACTCATCACAAAACGAAGCTGGAACAGAGCAGCACACTTGCATCCTGACTCCTGTCTCGTTTTGAACGTCACGTGAACATCCGCTGCAACTTGTGGTATGCTGTGTACCATTCTACATGCTGGCCGGCCCGCTTGCCTCTGCGCCGTTTTGGAGCAGGTTGGCTTGCTGCTGCAGGCAGATTTCTGGGAGGAATGACCTTGCCCCCCTTCGACGAAGTAGATTCATTCACCTCAGGTCGGGATGGCAACGATGATGATTTCACCTCAGAAACAGGGCTTGTTGGAGTCGGCTGCTCAGCATCAGCCTTTGAAGCTGCCCGTTCCTGTTCCATCTTAGCAGGCTTGTCATTGTCCATCTTCTCCAAGATCTCCAGGGTACGCCTGGCTGCCCATTGTCTGAGCAAAAAACTTTGGTCTGTGTAAAGTATGCTTGTAGATGGCGAGCGCAAACAAGAGCGACTCCTCGAACGCAATCTGTCCATGGCGCCCACTTAATATCAAGCTACAGTCAAAACAGATCATGGAACACCCTTCCACGATTTGGCTTGGCATGCTGTTTGCTCAGTGGACTGGACTGTCGTTACCATCACTAGGAATGGCAATATTTCATAGTCTAATAGCTGTCAACTGAGTTGAGTCGGGGTCTTCGGAGGCGCTTGACAAGCGAACAACTGAAAGAATGCGCTTTGGTTGAAACATGAACAACGGAACGACGGCGCGACGAATTAAATTTATCAGCTCTTAGTTACTAATATCTATACATTGTTATATAATATTCTTTGTCCCGACTGGTAACAGCGCCCGAGAGGTCGCTGACTACGGTAGGTAACAGCGCCCAAAAATGGTCGCTGGGCATGGTATAGCGCCCAAAAATGGTCGCTGGGTATGGTACAGCGCCCAAATGGTCGCTGGGTATGGTGCACCCTCAAAAAAGGTTAGCGTGATATTATTGCTATACTGAGTAGAAAGATTGTTGCAAAAGAGGGCGGCGATACTAAAATTTGGCCTGCCTAGCCTACCTTCTTGTTGGTTGAGTTTGAACACATTAAAATTTGAAGCCAAGACGACTGACTGGCAGCAGGTGAAGTCGACGTCGGATTCTGGTTCTGATTCTGCTGCTCCTTTCGGCGGTGGGAACAAAATGTTGTGAAAAGACCGCGCTTCAAAACAAGGCTGAGATCCCACGGATTCCATGGAATCCCTGGGTAAAAGTGGCTGGCGGCAAACACCTTGGGAAAATTGTAGTTTGGAGCACTGAGCTGACTTCAGATGCCACCTGCCACCTGGCCAGATTTCAGGTGGATTCCATGGAATCCGTGGGATCTCCCCTGTGGGCGCCCGAGCCCAAAGATCTCACGGATTTCACGAAAATCCCGTGAAAATTTCGATCGCCAACTTGGGCCATCCAAGATTTCAGGGGTGAAAAATCATTGCTTCTTTGAAAAAAAATGACGGGGAACTAAACTCTCGCGAATTTTTCCCACAAGTTTTTTTGATTTTTGGAAGGGTTTACCTGCGCTGGCCTGCCTGAAGCCTTATTGTCAAAAAACATCTTACCTTGAAAGAAGTCACACAGTCACAGAAAACTGGAGAGGCTGCCTCCACTAATTTTTAGTAATTAATCTGCTTGCAGCCTCACGAGGCCGACAAGCAACAGAAAACAGCAACAGCTGCGCTTTGCTTTTCTGGCGCTCCTCCAACCACTTTCAAGTCCGGCGCAGAGTCACAGTTCGGCAATCACCTTCGGAACTTTCTGGGTTTCAGGCGGCGTTGGGCCCATAGTAGCTGGGCGAGGTCGACCTTGTAGAGCCATCCTTCATTTGAGGGCCTGTGTAGCGGTATCGCCCCTTGATCAGCTGCCAGTGCGATTCCACAGTGCAATCATTCTTGTACTTCTGCCACGAAACATACTTGCATCGGCGAGGCCTGCGCCCAAAGAAAAAGGTGTTCAGTTTCCTGCCGATAAAACAAGCCAAATCAAAACTAACGGCCAAAATTTTCACGTTCAAAACTAAGATTCTTCCCGTCAGCGCCCGTGTCTGTGAAGCTCTCGGTGTAATTTTTGGCGTCGTTCCACTCTTCAAAGAGCTCCCCGACGAAGTCAGCGTAGTTTCGGCCATACGGGTCTACAAGGGTAGGGTCGGGAATGTGGCTCTTCCCGGCAGGCTTCTTCGCGACTGTCAAGAACTCGCGCTTTGGGTTTTTCGCTGCAGCAGCAGGCCGCTTCACTGCGCCATTCTGACCTTCGCGCTTCACCACTCCACCTGCGGGGCGCTTACGAGCAGCAGCAGCATGGGAAGACGGCATTACGCTTCGCACCAAAGAAGGTCGTCAACTTCCAAGCTATTAGCTGTTCGGACTCTGTGAAAGCAGCTTCGCGCGAAGAAAGAAATTGAAATGCAAACTTCCACTTCCCAGTCCGAAATCATAATGCACTAAACATGCAAAAAAGTTAGTCTCTTTGGAACATCAAAAGATCTGATACGACAAACGGCAAATGCATTACATTTTGCGGTGAGCTGTGCACGCAGTGAGTTTGAACCAGTCTCATTTTGAATGCTTCGCACTCTGGTCTAGCAAGTTGGAAAAAACAGCAAAATTCCTTGTGTAGCAGCAGCTCCAACCGAGCTGTC